TTTATTTCATCTCTAGATGATTCTTCTAAAATTTTTCTTTTTTAACTATACATGTATTATTTTACACTTACTTGCATATATAATTAATACAATTAATACAAACATATTGGGTGTGGTGGATGCTCAGTTTTGTGGCTTTTTTTTTAACTTGATTAGGAGCCATTGACAATAGTTTGATTAGGAGCCATTGGTGTTTTGTCTTTTATAATTAGAGGGGGCATGAGGTGCAGGGCAAAAATAGGAAGGAAACAAGTGCTTCTAAAATTAGGATTTTTAAAAGGAAGTAAACCTACATTAAATTGTAGGACAAGCAAGTGATTGAGCCATGCTGCATGTTTTAATTTTTGGAGAACGGGGAAAGAGTACAGATGGGGGTGGCCACGTAGGAAATAGTTTTTACTATTAAAACAACTAAGTGGTGCTACTTGGAAAATACTGAGGAGGGTAAGGGAGTTGGTGTATGGGACGAAAGCGTATATCTAAACGTAAAGCATTTAATGCTGAAGGGAAAGGGAAGATTTGGGGGGAAAGGCGAGAGAGAAGAAAATTGAGGTGAGGTTGACATTGCGCAGACCATCAAGTACTGTAGCTTAATTCAGATACAGGTATCTGTGGATTTGAAAGTCACTGTATTTGGGGGTTGGGGGGATATCACACCAAAGGAAGTAACCAAGATATAGAACAGAATGTTAGTTAAGATTGAGGAGAAAGAAGATGAGTTTGGGAGAGATTATATAAAGAAACATAGAAAGGACTAGGTATGATTGGATGCTAGAAATTAGAAAAAATCAAAATTAAAAATGTGCACATAAAGAAATTTCTTTTTTTCTTATTTCGCTTAAAAATTTTTTTTCACAATGTAATGAAAAAATTGGACAGTTTTGCTATTTATTAGAGTAAGCAGAATTTAAAATAACTTCAGCTGTGGTTTTTTTAATCAATTTTTAACCTAATTATATAATAGTATAAATAACTTGTGTTTCTTATGAAAACTTACCTGCTACCTGGTAGATACTCTTTCAGCACCAGGTGGTCAAATTAATTGTGCATCTTCTGCCCTTAACAGTATGTAATACTCTACATTTGACTAGTTTGTTAACCTTTGGCTTAAAGTAATGTAGAATTACTTTAGGATCATATTTGGCTAAAGGAGTTTGGTTTGAGGCTAAGTTGCACGTAGCTAAGATGATGGTGTAGTTTGTCTCAAGGTGTTGGGTGTAGAGGAAGTGCCGGTCCTCCTCCTGCCTTTTTATATCTGATTGCCTCATCTAATGTCTCTAATATGTTGCCTAATATGATTTCTAAGTGTTTTTTTGTCTTTAGTGTTCAGTTTGCCTAAATTTTCTTACACAGTTCTCTCTTCTTACTAAATACAGAAGAAAATGTTTTCCTTACCTGACAAGTGCTCTGTTAGAAGTAGAGCTCATCTTTTCTGGAAGGATCACCTAAAATCACTAAATTAAAACTTGCCTAAGTGTTAATTTAATAGCCAAAATATTGGTTGTATAATATAGGTAGTTCCTGAGTTTTGTTTGTTAGACACATGAAGTCCTGTTTATATGAAGGGGCACCAAAACCTGGACGTCTGCTCCAGTTTCTCAGTGGAAAGAAGAAAAAGGGTAGCACTTTTTATAATATTATTTCAGTTACATTTTGGGAACCAGGTGTATTTTCACTTTATGACATGTAACCATATTTTATAACCATATTTCTTTCAAAATGGGAAAAAGCATTCCACGTTTCAGAGGACAAATCTAGAAGCTTTTGAAACACAACCTACAAGTTACGTTCTTTTTTTGTACTTCTTGTTCTGGTGTGACCTTTCTGAAGGGCAAACTAAGAAGAGTGGCTACATTTGTTTTCAGGTGTTGGAGGAAAGCATAATTCTGACTTGGTAGCTTCAACACAATGGTAAACCAGGAAGAGACTTTTTAGAGCTTTGTTTACTTTAAATCCTTCTGTTTGCCTTGAGACTTTTTAATACCAGTATAAGTAGGATAGTTTCCAGTTTAAAAATCAATGTCTCAGCTAAAGACAGCATTTAAATTCTAATTTATTTCCTACTTTTGTAACTTATTTTCTTTTGACCTCTGGGTCAGGGAGGAAGAAATCAAAACAGGGGGATGGGGGCAGCTAGAGGAGAGAGGGCTGTGAGGCAGCTCTTGAGTCCACCATGGAAGGGAGCTCACACGTATCCACCCTCTACCACGTGCCAGGCGTTCCTGAAAGTTTTGACCCTTAGAGGCAGGTGCTTTCCTTTCATTATCATCAGCCAACACTTACAGAGCGCCGTAGATTCAGGCAGTGTGCAGTTTATAATCTTAGCAGGAAATGTCCTTCTGAGTGACTGTAAGAAGACCTAAAATTGACTCTTGACAAACAGGGATAATTGCGAAAACTTAAATGTGTTAAGCCAGTGAAAATATGTCCAGTTAAAGTTGATTTCTTATAATTCAGTAAAGTTATAGTTGTTACCTCTTTATGATATTGGGCAGGTAGCGTCTTAGATGTTCTTTAGACTAGCAGTGCTGTCCAACAGAAATAATTTATCCCATATGTAATTTATAATTTTCAAGTAGCCACATTAAAAAAGCAAAGAGAAATAGGTTAATTAATTTTAATTGTGTGTTTTATTTAGCCCAGTTATCCAAAGTATTATCATGTCAACATGGTAATTTATATAGAATTATTAGAGATAGTTTGCATCTTTTTTTTATGAGACCTTCAAAATCCAGTGTGTATTTTATACATACAGCGTGTCTCCATTCAGATGCTAATTTTTCATCCAAAATGCTTGATCTGTATTTAGTCATTAAAATTGCATAAAAATTTAGATTACAAACACTATTAAAGTTTTTCCAATTAATGAATAAAGTACCAGAAAACCCCATTTTCTCTAGTATTTGCATCTGTATTGACAAGACAAGATGTGACTCATCTTTTTAGAATAATTGATTTGACTCTGAAGCAAGAGCATATCAGTTTCAAAACTATCTAAGTTGAGTAAATCCACTAACTCTTGTAACAACTCAGTATTATTGAATTCAGAGGGCGATTATGTAAACTGAAAATCACCTCTAAATTTATCCATGTCGCAAAACATTCTTCAATTTTTTGTAGGTTCTGCAGCCAGCTTAATGCTTTATCATTAAAATCTTATGCATATTTGTTCATGCTGAAGTGTGTAAAAATCATTATTGATTTGTATTATGAATAGTTTAAATTTTAACAAAAGTTCTAGTACCTGTCTGTCTAGGTCACAAACAAGCTTGCTCTCTCCTGGGATTTGTAAACTGAGCTCAGGCGTGTGCGTTGTGATCCAGGTGAGAAGATGTAAATCCCGCTGTGATGTTTTCTCTCTGTCAAATACTGGCAAGTGCGCCTTTGGTTTCAAGAAAATCTTGAAGTAGAGTTAACAGTACAGTGAACTTTTGTTACATTCTTCCATGACTTCCAGTGAACACTGGCAGAGAACACATAGTCATTAAATTCATCATCTTCTATTTCTTTTAACAGCTCCATAAACTGGTGATGATTTGTAGCATTTGTACGTATGTACTGAACGATTTTCATAACTGCATCCATAATAGTCTACTTCAGAGCACACATATTTTCAATATGTTAACATGCACTAGAGCAAATAAGGGAAATAATTCCAGTAAATCTGGGTTTTTGATCCCACATGTCTGTCTTTTTTCTTTTAATCTAGCTGAAAGTGACAGATGTAAAAGATTAAGAAATATTTATAGCATGCGATTGATTGTTTTTAAGGTTGCAAATAGACAAAGATCTTTCAGTTTGGAAGTCATTTGAGACAAATACCCAAAGTATTAATTGGCCACCATTTCTTGTCTTGTAAAAGTCATCTAAAGCTAAAAATAAAAATACTTAAAAATTTCAGATGTTTGAATTGATTGATCTTACTAGAAAGGTCTTTTATTCACTGACAGTTGCTTGGTGGATCAATTGAAGATTTTTCACTTTTTATGAAATATCCTTTTTAATCTTTACCTCAAAATTTTAAACATAATTCCTGTAGCTGAAATAATAATTTATTGTTCCATCTTGCCATCTGAAAATGATTTTCTTTCTTGAGTAAGAATTACAAGTGCAAATCCTAAAAATTACTAAGAAATTTTTTTATTATACATTTCATTCTGATTTCTTTGTGAAAAACTGCATTGATTATATTTTGACTTGTAGAGAGGCAACTTCTCATTAAATTACTATGCACTTGCTGAAAATGACTCAATATTGTCTACTTCATTATCTTAAAACTTCTTTCCACACGGCTTGGTAATTTTGCTCCTCTGTAGTAAGTTGTAGTTGCCATTCTTCGTAAAATTTGTGATATACCTTCTCCACTTGATTCTGCCTCATGAGTGTGCCTTCATTTGGAAGTGAAAAAAATTTTCATTCTTAATTTTTAAGCCAGAAGGATAATTTGATTATATTATAATTAAAACAAGTGTTTATTTATTTTTTTTAATGCAGGCACTGGGGATTGAACCCAGAACCTTGTGCATGCTAAGCAGGCACTCTACCACCCCCCAAATAAGTATTTTAATTTAACTACCAATTACAGTTTACATAGGTGTCCCTGTAACTCATGCTGTCTGCATAAGATACGCAAATAAACACATGGTGCTGCATTATTGCATAGAAAAATAACTGAGTCGTTCTGTTGACACAAACTAGACTGGTGATGCGCTTAGGTACGGTCCTAGAAATGACACATGCACCCACCGTGTGCACCGCAGTACATCTTACACTGTATAATCATAAAAGTGAAATAAATACAGTATTACCAAAACCATGAAGTTGTATTTAATGGAGAAGTATTGTATACTGCTTCAGTTGTTAAGTAAAATTTTGTGTCAAGTAAAATGTTTAAATTCAGCTTCTCAGTTGCATCAGCCACGTTAGCACAGCTCTAGAGCCCAGAGCAACTTGCTTGAATGGTGACCATTCAGAGAGTGGGAGCAGCTAGACCCGGTTAAGCCAGGTTAGTTCAGAATGGAGCAAGCCGTAAATAAATCTGTATTTCAATGTATGAAAATGTTACTTTAACAAATGTTAAAGCCTGAATCCATGTCACACCAAAAAGAACTACTTTAATAAGGAAAATATTAGTTATTTCATATCATGTGAAACAATTCGTTTCTTAAAGCAGCCATTTCTTGGTGGAGGTTAACGTTTCAATCAGCTACTCCAGCAGCATGTAAATACATGAGAGGTGATCTGTGTTTGATCTTAAACTGCCTTTCCCAGATGAACATTAGCATTTGGAATTGTTTTTGTTTTGAATACTGAACATTGTTTTAGCTGAAACACATGCATCTATTTATGCAAACATAACATAAAAACGTGAGCAGGAGTTAGAGTAACAGAGCAGTTTCATTCGTCAGTGACGCCTGGGGTTCCTGGAGGAACCAAGTGCCTTAAGCCCAGGTTTACAGAGCAGACCTTACCCCCTTCACATTTATGCCGAGGGGAAGCAGGGAATTAAACCTTTTCAGTAATTTAATTCCTCTGTGTATTTGTCATAAAACTGATAAGGGGTTATTCTCCTGCCATAGCTGGTATTTGACCATAGAGAAAGGGTCCAGGATGTAAAAGGCAGCTTTTGCTCTTTGTGGAAATGTTAGGGGTCGAGCACAGGCACTGGGAGAGCACGTCAGGGGTTCTTGATTGCCGGCGCAGGTAGGTAGTTAATGGGGAGATGGGGTGTTGAGTAATTACATATATATTTTAGTTAAAGTTTTCAAAAGCATTCACAGTTTGACTCCTGTGAATAAAAGATGCAAGCTGTGCTTTTGTGGGTAATTTTTTAAAAATTGCTTTCCCTCATCCTCTTTTCAATTTTTTTTATAGACTGGTTTCGGGTATGTAAGAAATGTTTTTTGGATTCTGCTAGAGATGACCTAATTTTTACTAATTGCTATGCATTCAAAGTTTTGTTTGCTCAGAATGGCAGTGTTAGTGTCATTATTCTTCGGTAGTTACAATAAGTAGTTTTGTTCAAAGCTGCAGTATTGGTATTAGCTTGTAAGTTGTTTCTGTTAAGACTGGGCTTATTTCAGGAAAAAAAAGAATGCTGATGTACAAGTTGAAGTTACTATGTGTGATTCCTTATATTAATTGCTTATTGTCTTGTACAGATACACACGCACACACAGTATCAGTCTTAAAGAATACCTTAAATGTCTTTCTTCAAAGCGGTTGTCAGTTTCCTGAAAGATGTAGCCACTCTTTTACAGTTTTGTCTTCTAACACTTCAGAATGAAAAGATGCATTCTTCTCAGCCATCTGAATTCAAC